GAAATTATAATTTTGTCATTTCTAATCTTGTTATAGTTTTTGTCAAATAGACGAGTGAGTACAAAGAAAACAGGAAGTCGATCTTCTATTATGCTTGGAGGCTTCCAGTCATTATTAGATATTATTTCGCCTTTAATTTAAATGAGCACGTTCCTAATGAAATTTATAAATATAAAATGTGAAAAAAGGTATACCAACATGGACAGAGTTTCAATACGGTTGGTCCCGATATCCAGCAAAAGAAAGATTCAGTTTGATGGTGTCAGCTTCTATGATTTGGCAGGTTCAACTGTCTTTTCTAGATTTAAAACAAGAAAATCTCAAAGCAACAAAATAATACGTGCGACAATTTCATCAGGACATGTACTTACAAGGTACATGTAAATTCGACCGAAGGTTTAAAGTTTAAGGGTTCATTCTTATAGTGTATTTTCGACCGAAAGTAGTATAAAAATAATTATATTATTAGCACGTTTTTAATATTATATTTTATTATGTCTTCTAGAATGTTTTTTTTTTAATTTTAACTATACAAAAAACTTTTTTGGCCTTCTTTGACCTCGTCAGCGTTATACGGTCTTTATTCGAACAATAAGGGACAGTTTTTAATAAAAAGAAAATTCGTTCTTTCTATCGAAATATTGAAAAATAAAAAATGAATTAAATATATTAATAAAATATTTTAATAATAAAAAAATACTAAAGATGCAAACCTACTCCTGGAAAAAAAAATTAATTTAGGTAGTTTCATTTATTTTGCTTATTGAATTTGTACTTAAATTACAAATTCAATAAATTCATAAAAATAATAGAATAAAGTATATTTTTTTCTGATTATTTACAAATTGTACCTATGAGGTGACATAGTTACATAGAGAAAGAATGATTCTTGTTAATTAATTACATAAATAAAAAACTAAAAACGAATATTCAAAAGAGGCTAATTTTCTGACGTAGTAGTATTTTTAAAAAAAACAGAAAACGTCCTATGTTTAATCAGTCAAATATTTTTTTTAAACTACACTACATATGTTTCTGCCATGTTGCCATCTTCTAATACAGTCATAATGTTTATATTTCACTGATTAAACTTATGAATTTTATTTAGGTTTACAAATTTAATTGAAAATGTAATAGTTCTTTCTATTTTTTCTAATATTTTAGGCAGACTCTAGTTTTAGTGTGTAGGCGATAAGGAACCTGTAATAATATTTGGTTTTCTTATTTCTTTAATTTGCAAAATTTTTATTGTTAATAATTTCTACATGGTTTCTAATATTTTAGTAATTGTATGTGGACATAAAAATCTAATAGATTTTTTTATTTTCATCTTATGTTGGATTCTTTTTCATAAACCATACAAAAGATTCTTTGTTTTCGTCGCTTCTAGAGGAATTTGGATATTACATGTTGATTTTGTAAATCTTAGTTAGTTCTTAGTTTTTTTATATAATTGTTCTAATTTTTGTTTATGATTTTTTACATAATATAAGAAAAATATATTAGATCGAAATATTTCGTTTGTATTTCTACTGTGGGTGTGTCCAAAAATAAGTTCAAATGGTGTATAGTTTATGTCTGAATGAGTAGAGTTATAACTACTGATCTGTATTATTTTACTAGATAGGATATAGCCGCCTAAAAAGCGTTCCAAAAAATTGGCCGATTTGGGCAAATAATATGGCGGACCGGATGCTATTTAACATAACCTCTATTTCCATTTGTCATCACATTTGTCATTTAGTTGTGTCAACAATTTATTGAAGACGTGTTTTTATTGTGGAAAACGGTAATTATTGGCAAGACGCCCGTTTCTTAATAATCCAATTTTCTTAATAATCCAATTTTCTTTTCAAAACTTGCGTTTTAGGCTTTGGGAAGGATATTAATCTTCAAATTTATCTGCGAAAACTTCATACATTTTACTTTTTTCTTTTTTATGTGGTATTAAAGAATTTTGAGGATCATTTATGTAAGCTTCTTTTTAGAATTATATCTGTCATACTGGAAACTGTCATGTCATTACAAATTCGCGATGTTGCCAACTTCTCCAATCCTAATCAATGAAAAATAAATGTAAAAAACTTTAATAACACCACCGGTGGAAATCGCAAAAAATGTGATATTTTGGGTCCGATTAATTTTAAGAACTCGGAATTTCGAAAAAAAAAATTATTACAGTAATAATTACCAATTTTATTTAATTTGTTGTAATACACAATTGACTGAATATTAATATTACATCATTGATAAAGTAATAAACAATATCTACTTTTTAAAAACTCAATTACTTTACCCAAAAGTGTTTAAACTTTTTTTAAACAAGGACATTTATTTATATGACAACATATGACTTGACTGCTAAAGTAAACGATTATCATCAACTAAAGAGGATAGAGGAATTGGTTTAATTTCTGCTGGGTTAGCCATGGCGTTATCCCCCGAATACGTTCAGCTGCATTTCATTTAAAACGTCCACCGATACACACTTTTTAAAATTATAACGTTTAATATTTTCTTACTTTAAAACTTATAAGTAATTCAGATATTCAAAAATCATTTGACCGAGGGAGAAAATTACACGCATCTAAAAAATTACAGGAGTAAATAAATAGTTAATAAATTTGAATACCATGGCCATGTTATCTAAACATTTTTTAATTAACAAATATTTAAGAAATTTGTCAAAATGAATATACAAAGTCTACAACAAGAAACTTGCTAATATTTAGCTGCCGTCATCTCACCCACCTCCTAACCACTACAGAAGAGAGCGAGTGAAACAAGCGCGCCTTGCTGACGTCATCAGCCGGGCGCACCCTTTATACATCTACACTATGAGACATACGCTGCCACCATCTCACCCACCTCCTAACCACTAAAAAAGAGAGCGAGCGAAGCGAGCGCGCCCGGCCGAAGTTTCGAAATTCGCGCGCGAATTAACTTTGCAAATATAAACTACGTAACTACATTATCTGGCAAAATTCTTGATATAAATGATATGTCTGAAAACACCACTAGATCAGTTCCAATTCTGGGTGAATTGTCCTGAAGGACATTGCCTGCAAAACGAATATAAGAATAATTAGAAAAAGAACTAATCAAATTATAGGTTAGGTGTGTCAAATTATCCCGCCATAATTTGCTCAAATCGGCCAGCAGTGTTGTACTTCCTGTCTCCTTGGTGGAACGGATTTTTAGTAAGAAAAGAAAATCAAGTACTAGTTAGCAGAAAGGAAAGTTATGGGAATGATTGGAAATGGCCCGAAAAAAGGACGAAATCTGGTATGACATAATTGATATTATGAAGGAAATTCAACTTCCAGTCAAAAAAAAATTCAAGAGGCTACTACTTTATTGAATAAATGAACAAATACCATACTTTTAAATAAATGTTATTCTACTTTTGTATTTAGTGAATAAACACTTTCAAAACATTTTTTTTAATTTGTCTTTTAATGGTAGAGTGGCCATAAATGGATCCTAAAAAGGCCACACTAGGAACGAAGTCGCCATAAATGGAACAAAATCAATATTTATGTATTCGATGTTTTAAAAGATAATAACAAATAAACCCTATTGTTTAGATTTAATGCCACAAATATATAAATAGAAAACTATTGCTACTTTGCTTTGATTAATTTTCAAACTCGTATGGTAATTTTATGAATTTTTTATGATTTTTTCAATTCCCATGATACTTTAAGATGCCCATAAATGGTGCTCCTAAACTATAATGTATTTACACACATTTTCATTATCATTATTTATTAATTTAAGTTTACTTACCTGCTTGATCTTGCTCTTTTATTTATTCTACCTACTTGGATACAAACAGGGCGCAAGTGCCACTATCTTGACCGTTTTTTAAAAAAAAGGAATCTTCATCTATGTAATCATATATTCATTCATTATTTCTAAAAATTAAAAATAAATACTTAAATAATTATTGTTCATCAAATTTTAGCTTGTATGTAAAAAATGTTTTTATATATCTCGTATTCTTCCGATTTTTTCCGAATATTCATTACGTTTGAAACACTTCGTAGCTTTCCAATACGAACGTTTATACGTTCGTCATAAGAAGCAATAAAAGACCCGTGAACCCCCTTTCATGTCGTCTTAATTATCACACTAACACACTTGCGGTTAAAATTCGAGTAGCTCTCCATCCTCTTAAGCCATTTAATTAAAACTTGAAACAAAAGGGAAGGAGCGAATTAGCCCGTAAGTAATTAGTTGAGTTTTACGTATGTCGCCTCTCGATTGGTTTAACGGCGAAACGTGATTGGTTGGCTATTAGTTGGACTGGTTAATAGGGATTAGCATTAGTGGGACTTTCGCTATGTTCGAGTAGGTTTCGTGAAACGGAATTGTGTTGTAAAACGACAACTACGTACCGATTTAACTGTCGTTTCGTTTTATCCGATATCTGATTTAAATTTCTAATGGATTTTAGCTTGTAGATAGATTATAATAATTGTTGTTTAATTATAATTATTACATGCAAAGGAAATATATTTTGATACAATAAACAATAATAATTAACAACATCAAAATCAACAGTAATCCAATGCGTTCCTGTTAATTAATCCGTTAATGAGATTCGACTGGAAATGAAGGCACAGTGGTTCGAATCCCGCAATACATTCTGTGAATTTTTCTACGATTGGCAGGATTTGACGGATGGACGTAATAATTTAACCCTTACTGCATGAATTTTAGAAAATCACAAAAAATTTTTTAAAAATTCAGGGTAGCTGATCTGACCCTACTTCTGTTATCAAATGTTATTAAATATGATACATTATGCTTCGAGGGAAAATAAATATGGGACTAAAAACTCAACAAAGTACAATTCAAAATTTATTTATGTTTCAAATAAGACTGCGAAATAATCTCTTAGTTTTCACGATGGAACTCAAAAAAACAGCTTCTCTTTTTGATTATACAAAAATGAAATCTGCATTTCCTGCAGATGACATTGGTCAATGTTTTACAGCTATCATATGTGCATCTATTTCTTTTTTCTTTAAATTGTGGCCAATGCTCAAATCCATCAATACGAACAACTGTTGTTGGTCTAGGGGCAGCAGATCTTCTTTTAATTTGACGCTGGCAGGTCGACCACATCTGGGAGTGCCACTCCTTCCAATTTTACACAAAGAATATGCTAAATCTATTGGAAATCGTTTCTGAGACATTCTTGTTTTGCCGTTTATGCTGTTTATTTTGCTAAAAAGAACTCAAGCATTGACAACGCACAAATCAAGCAAATGGTGAAATAAACGAAAATACAATTTTTTGCTTTTCATAGGTATTTTGTGTCACCGAATGTGAGCATTCATCAAATGAAAGACTCTATGATAGGACGCAATTTGAACAGTTTATCTCTAGCAGAATCATTAGCTTGTAAATTATTAGTGTTATCGTTGAAATGAAGAACACAACGAATGGCTTTAAACTTGTTGATTCCCATAGTTGCTTTCACCATATCGTTACCCAAGATCGGGTGCCAGAGATCTCTAATGCACGAAACACGTACCACAGATGAAAATATAAGAATTCCTATGTATTTTTGCAGCGAATTTAGGGAAAGTGTTGATTGTTTATTAGGGTCTTTTTGTTCTGAATATAATACAGACTGTTGTACTATTAGGTTCATCAAATCATCATCAAAAAAGTATTTAAAACAATTATATGGATACTGTAACTGTAACAAATCATTCGGAATACTTGAATTTCCTTTAAATTTTTTATGATCGTCTAAAATTATCAAAGACCCTTTTCTCCAACGAATTTGCTCCTGTAATGCTTTCTTTCTACTGATTGTTGGTTTTAAAGGAATTGATATTGGAGTAATACGTGATTTTAGAGGAATATTTGATTTTTGTTTGGCAGAAATTTTTGATGCAGCATTGTCAGAAATCGCATCTGAGGACTTAGAAGTGCTAGGGAAGTCAGCTGGAATTTTTGACGTGCTAGGAAAGTCAACTGGATCTTTCGAAGTGCTAGGAAAACAATTTGAATTTTTTGAAGTGCTAGCCAAGTCAGCCGGAACCTCTGAAGTGTAATCTTCTATTCGATTTTGGACTTCATCAAGTTTTTCAGATAAAACTTCATCTGAAATTTTAATCATTTCATCATCTGAATTGTTCATGAATTGTGATAAATCATCTTCACTTCCGTAAAGCATATCTAATAAGCGACACACATCTTCCTCTCCAAGGGCTTTTTTCCGTCCTTTACCTTCTGAAAAATTTATATAGTGATCCATCTAAAGACAAGAAAATTTTCTAATATAGATTTTTTATTGTAAATATATTTATAAATTTTTACACGACTGCATTGCATGATGTATCAAATACGATATCACGTAAATAAGGAATTTTTAGAAATTTATTGATAACAAATAGTAAAACTAAATAAATAAAACTAAACTACATACCTCAAATACTAGAAAAATAATTTTTAATATTCACTTTTATGAATTTACACACCAGGGGTAGTATTCTCGAATCACGAATACCGACATTCGCATACGTGTTTTACAATGTGTCTCACTTTGTTGAACGAAAACCAAGTGAGACAAATCATAAATCTCGCATGCGAATCTATATTCGTGACTCGAGAATACTACCCCTGAAATGAATCTCAAAAGCACCTCAAAAAACCGGTACATTACAACATACATAATTGTGCACATTTGAGGTTATAAATCTTCTGTCATAGAAATAAATGATGGTAAAATTTTATATTATCTTCTAATGCATGTTGTCTCAGCCGTACAATACAATAAAAGTCTTACACAAGCCAATAGATGTTAGTAGCAGTGTTATAAATGTGATATATCATATACGATATGCGTTGCAGTTAAGGGTTAATTTATGTTTATACGACATCAGCTCATTTCAATCACAATCATCTATCGTATGGAAGATAGTAAGTGATGATTTTCCTCACCTTCTTACAGGGATTCACTCGTAAGAGGTTCACCTGTAGTACCAAATAAAAACAAATTTCAGCAAAAAAATTAACATTATTTTTTTAATGAAAACTTAAATGAAACTTATTGTTTTCGTCTCTTCGTCTTCTACCGCTTTGATCACCCTGTTCTTTACACATATCAACTTATTACTGTTTACTGACTTTGCTATCTGCTACTTTCTATTTATCTCTTTCTGCTCCGGCTGCTTCCACCCTTGTTTCTCGCTTCCGATAGTATAAAAAAATATTTTTCTTTAATTTTATATTTTTATGCTTCTTATTAACTTTATCCCATTCTCTAATAATTTAAAGTTGACCCTTAATAATTTCCCAATTTTTCGTAGATAATCTTTAATTCAAACAAAAACTCTTGTCCTCATGACAGTCTTAAATCCCTTGATTTCATTCATTTTTCGTTTATTTTCAAAACCTTAACCACCTTAGTAGATTAGATTTAATTAGTACTGTGGAGCCATATGGCCTTCCGCACCAGTACAGTAGAAGCACCGGTTTCAGACCATTCCTTATGTAAATTAACGTGGGGAATCGCTTAGGTATATTCAAGATGGCGGCCGTCGTTCTCTTGCTCGAGTCTTGTTCTGATAATCGCCAACGCCACCTATTGAGAGATGCAGACTAAACAACAAAGGGGGTATGTGTGTCTTTAAAATTAAAATGTTAATAATATGTCAAGTTTGTGTTCCAGAAATATTGAATTAAAAGATGAATTAATCTTTATAACCCAATACTTATGGAAATTAGCATGGAAAATCGCTAATGTCTACAAAACTAAAAAGTGGAGTAGTTTGCGCATGCGCATTTATAAGGTGTGAGATAAGAGGGATTAAGGTTGCAATAATTATTAATGGATGTTATGTGTAAGAGATTTTCAACAATTAATAGATTAACATTGAAGAGAAAAAGCCTGAGTAGTAGCCAATATACACGCTTAGGCCCTTTTGACTCTGACATTGCGCTTGATTTTTGTATTCAACGATAATCTATACCGTGTTCTCTACATAGGATCTTGGACACCAAAGCTTTTTAAATGGAAAACGTGTAGTTCACTCTGTACAGTAGAATCCTGGTGTGGACATTTAAGTAAAGATAGAACAAATATTGCTAATAATTTAATTGGGGGAGAGTTATTTGCAATAGGGTAAAGTCAACATTGGACAATGAAAATTAAATATATTTTGTTTTAAAATTATATTTTTAAAGTAACAGAGTTGATTATTTAGAGTAACTCAATAAGTTTCAAAATTGTCTCTCTTTGAAGTTCAGCTTTTTTATTTAGGCCAATTTTCAGTAAACTTGTAATTATTTTATTTTTCTTAATTTGTTTTTCTCTGTAATTATTCCCCGTTTTGTTTTGTAAAATTGTCTTCGTTTCTCGTTAGCTTCTTCTCTCCGCCTTGTTCCTTCGGCACCTCTATCACATCTACATGTGGATTTATCATGAAGTTCTGTTTCCGATGTATATTTTTCTGTCTTTAACACCTTCAGAAGCTAATTCTGAAATTTCTGTGCGTACTAAGCAACACTGTTTTCCTCGGGAATGTAACCAATCTTGTCTGAATACTCTTCTATCGTAATGAGAATGAGGTGTACCTCTAATACCATATCCATCCCTTCTTAGCTGCTTTTGTCCATCAGCACAGGTAATGTATCCGAGGACAAGGTTTTTCAGCATGTCGCAACGACGATTACATCATATACGTTTGTACTACTGCGAGTGCGCAAAAATCTTGTTTGTGAGGAAAATGAATTATTGGTTTAAAGTATTAAAGACTCTTCCAGTCTACTGAGAAATTTTTTACCAGTAGCTTCTCTAAAAATAACAAAAAAATGTCTTCATTGTCAAAAACTGATTATTTCACTCTTTTGAATCTAAATTAAATTAATGCTTTGTCGCCACAGGAAATGGCACAAGAATACGAAGAATTGTCCAAAGAATGGTATCACTTAATATGAAATAAAAAGGACTTTAACTTACATGCTTGTGCTCCAAATATTAGGCTGCAACCTACCTCCCCATATTATTTTCAGCAACCCCAAGAATTTCTACGAACCCTAAAGTCCGCTTCTCTCAATAGGTTGCATGGGCGATTATCTGAACAAGGCCGCCACGTTAATTTACATAAGGAATGATCTGAAACCAGTGCTTCTACTTTACTCCCACCTCCACCTTTTCAGATCTATTGCAGATATCCTCTAATCGTTGTTTAGAGTACCTTGTGTAGTTAAGTATTTTTTAATGTACTTCATTGATTAGGAAGCAGTTCTTCAGGGTAGCTAGTTGCTGTTGGTTTTTCTTCTCCAAGTGTAAGGAATGTGAGTCTTGATAAACCTTTACAGTAGCACAGAAGTCTACTGCAGTTTCCGTTTCCTCCTCTTCCTGGCGGAATCGACAGAAGGCCGCTTCCTCTAGACTGACGTTAAACATATATTTGATAATCCTACAATGCCCTGATAATAGGGCTCATTATACTTAGTAGATGCTCGGTGAGTTTTGACGATGGTTTATGATCACTTTGGCATGGCTCTGTGTTGCTTAGTTTTCCCACCATTCCTGAGATTTTTCAAACCTCAACTCACTGCTTTGTGCATATTCTGATAGATTTTAATTTATCTTTTGTTTAAATACCGTTTTTGCGCAGTGATGTAGTGCTGCTATATATAAGTCTACGCACTAGATACTGATTGTCTAAAAGTTGGAAAACTTCAATGTTAATTTTATCAGTGATCATGATGATCGTGATAAAGCCGAGTTAGTGCTGTGAGCCACAATATCAAAGTGTGCAGAATATGTTAATAACTAGTATTGAACACAGGTAAAATCTAGATTTACAATTTTAAAATTTATACAAGCAAATGCAACATTTGTATCAAGAAAGCCAAGATTAGCGCTCTAAAACTCTTAATATTTAAATCGTTAGTAGGTAACTACACTGTCCAAATATATTGCATTAAATGTGGGTTTAAAAAAAATAATTTCAATTGTTTCTAACTGTAAATTTTTACCTTGTTTGTAGTTTTTGTTTTTAAAGCCGATAAAGAGTTCAGGATCATAAACATTTCAGGGAACAAGCATTTTTTCTCAGTACACATTTAGATTTACCAACTAACCGACAAAATATATTTCCTATATAAAATAAAAGGTATTTCCATTGTAAGAATACAATTAAATACTAATAATTACGCAGTTAATACTGACTAAAACTAAAATGACTAACCGCAAGTAAATAGTTCTCCAAGAGTAAAAACTAATTAAACCTTTTACTAACTATTGGTGACTAATTTCAGAAATCTTGTTATACGTACCATAAATAAATATTTTATTTGTCCCGTATAGTATACGACTATTTATTTGTGACATGTAAAAGTTCGACAAAGATTAGTGATCTTATTGTCACATGTAAACACTTGATATAGCACACAAACACTTAACCCTGTGTTACAATTATAATACTAATAATACTCTCCCTAATGCACCCCCAATTTTAACCCCAAAAGCTGAGCTTGTACGGGAAAAAGGACGGCTATTATTATTATTTGCCGTGGCGCTCCGGGGCGACTTAAATATGATTGATGGTGCCATTTGACTTACAGGTGAGGAAAACCCGGAAAACCTCACCCACCATCATCGAGCCGGTAATGTATGGCGATTTTTTATAATCTGCTGTCATATCAACAGAAATTGAATTTCTATTAATACGGCACACATCAAATCCTATACCGAACCATGCAATTTAATTAAAAATCTACATGGTCTGGTCTGGGATTCGAAGCCCAGCAGTCTCTGACACATAGAGTTGCTTATAAATGAATATAAGCACGTTAGACCACTACACCACCGACCTGATAATTAATCTGGCTGTTTGGTATCTTTTGAGATAGGCATGAAAAGTTGGATAACATTGACATTCTTTCAATTGTAAATAGTATCTACTTGTGTAGAACAACTTTTAGGTCAATTATTTAAAAAAAGAGTTTTATTAAGAGGAATATGTATTAGGAAAAACAGGATGAACGGTTCACAAGTTTTTAATACATCTGTACTTTTGGAAAAAATCGAATATTAAATATTTTATGTGAACTAACTGATAATTAGATTTATTATATATGGCTTCAATGATATAAAGTTTGTCCCTAACCCTCGTATATTAGAATTATCATAATTTAAACGCATGTGTGTGGAAGAATTCCAAACACAAACACATAAATCTGAAATTAAGTGGAAACTGATATTTTGTTGGAAGAAG